CCATACGAACTGCATTCAGATGAAGGCTGCAACTTCAAATCGGCTGTGTTCCAAGAATGCTGCAAGTTGTTTGGCATCCGAAAGACCAGGACAACGCCACTTCACCCACAGTCTGATGGGATGGTAGAAAAGTACAACTGGGACAGGAATTGGCAAAGTTTTGTAATAGTTGCCAAGATGACTGAGATGTCTTACTACCTCCACTGCTGATGGCTTATAGGACAGCAGAGCATGAAACCACTGGATACACTCCAGCAAAGTTGATGTTTGGTCGGGAACTTCGGTTGCCAGTGGATCTGTTAACAGGACGCCCACCTTATGAAGAGTTGCCTGAGAATGTGTCAGAGTTTGTGAAAGTGTTATCGGAAAGGGTGGATGATATTCACCATCAAGTGTGTTCAAACTTGAAAACGTCTGCTGATTCGATGAAGTTAACTTATGATAAGAGATCTACTGAAGTTAGGTTTGTACCAGGAGACAAAATTGTGGTTGTATAATCCCAGGAAGACCAAAGGGAAGTCTCCTAAGTTGTCTTCTCCATGGGAAGGCCCATATGACATAGTGGATCGTCTCTCAGACGTGACTTTCCATATAAAATGTGGTCAGCGAGGTAAGCCAAAGGTGGTGCATGCCAACAGGCTTTGGCGTTATCATGGTCCAGGACATTTCAGTTGGGATGAAGTGAACAATGGAACAAATGACACTGCTGAAGACGTGTCACCTGAAAAAGCCACTGTCGAAGAAGAAACTCTATTTGGTAGCACGTGTTGAGTCTTAGAAGTTTCTAGAACAGGCAGTATTATCGTATATAAGTTTGCCAGACAGTGAGAGAGACAGACGGAGTCGAAGCAATAGTGGAGACAAAGACAGAAACGTAGCGGAGATGAAGCAGGCAGAGGGAAAGAAAGACAGCGGTTACGATCGGCGGGAACTGAGGATAGCAGACACAGAGTTTGGAACTATAGTTTGCGGGGACGGACAATTAAGTCTAAGCGCAATAGAAAGTGAGTGAATGGTTGTGAACTATAGTGTGTGTAACTGTACATTACAAAGTTGTATTGAGGAAGAATAAACAAGTTTTATAAAGAAAGGACTTGTATCTTGTAAGAATTAACAAGCAAACATACAGAGACCTAACAATAATATATTTCATGACAGAATACTTTAATTTTAACAAAACCATTTTTGTCCATATTTAAAGTAAACATTTACCAATTTAATACAAAACAAACACAGCAAACTTTATTTGTATCAGAACAGTAACTCAAATGAGGCCAATTGTCCCAACCAACTTGTCCTAAATTCTTACTCTTCTTTAAATAAATTGATCTGTGAGCTTGACCTTGCTAATCATTTGTATCTTAGTTGAACAGTAGGATGTAATCAAAATGTGTTAGTTGGCTTTTCATAGTTGTACTGGATAGTTCTACAACCCTGATCAGTAGCTCAGATTTCTAGATTGTTTTTAGTTTTTGGTTGTCTAAGAGTAACCATTTTGTATGGTTCTTTAAAGCCAAGATGTTTAAAACAGTTTGTTGATGACATGTTTAAATATTTTACCAGAGAAGTACATGATGCTTGGTTGTTTTCCTCATATATTTTTGAAAATGTATTTCAGGTTGTTTAGTTTAAATAAAGGCTGTTAGCTAGAATTATAAGATGCTGAAATTGGTGGTCTACATGAAGGCATTGGTTGTATGGCACATTCTTCTATCAAATATATAAAAGTAACCTTATAATGGTTTTCTAAGCATGAAATTCTGATATACCCCAACTCACTATCATAGAATAGACAGCACTTAGAATAAATAAAGAAAGGATCAAATTAAAAAATTAAATTCAAATGATTATTTTGTTTTTTCCTCTCCGAACATTCATGCGCAAGTAGCACCTAATATAGTATAATTGCATCTTTATCACATACTATACCATTGGCTACCATGAGCTGGTCACATGTGTGCCTCATGAAATGTTTTTTTCATTATATTATTATTATTATCTATTTTACCTAATCTAATCTTAACTAACCTAAAAATATCCATATTTTTACAATTTAATTACTTTTATAATAATAAATAAAGAATAAACACGAAAAAAGAAATAAAGTACTTACCCAATCTTCTTTTTTATTGCTGTCGATTGTCGCGGAAACTTAATCCTAGTTTTTATACTAATGGTACTAATGCACTAAAGTTTTTATTCAATTAAATAATGCACTGAAGAACATAGACTAACCACATGCAAAAAGTAGATAATTTCCCTTAACTCTCAATTTTTCTGGGTTTCTAACTACACAACAAGAGCTGTTACAAATTTATTCAGGCTAGTTGTTAGCTTTCCTCATGGGAATGAAGCTTGTACTCTGAATGAAACTGATGCTTATCTATTCAGAACACAATGTTATACAACACGTCGTTTGATAGATGAAAACCTTGACTTTCTATTGGTTATAGGTAATATATAATTAAATGTAAAAGAGAACTATTAACAAAGCCTGAAAGAGAGGATGTGACAGGTAGGTGTGATTTTCTATTTCATAGCTCTGCAGTCATACAAAATTATGGGAGCAATTTACATTTAATTTTGTACATTTTGCAGGGGTGATGGATAAGATAGAGAAGAAAAAATGCCTAGAGAAAATGTGTTACGTGTGAAACACTATGGGAAGTTCAGAATTTTCGTTAAATATTTCCTTATAAAATTAAGAACTTAAAACTTATATACTATTAAAATATGGATTATTAGCTAAGTGTTTATGGCATATTTATGGGTATAACATGAACAAAAGTAGTTTAATAAAATTTTGGATGTAAGATACTAAAATCTTGTGTCATGCACAGTAAAGGATGTCCATCATGAAAGTGTTAAAATCATATTTCATTAAGTAAAAAAAAGGAGATGCATACTTACTTGAGGTACCATGCTTTTGAAAGATTCCATAATCCTAGAGCTACGGGCTTCTTGATAATATGAGAAACATCCAGTAACAATTACCACAGCAGCTAATACAATACCTAAATATAACTTTATAAAGAAAACAAAATATAAATCAGATTATAAATCAAACTCTTCAGTTTCAAGAGAAATAAGTACAAAATATGTTAAACTACATATATCAATAATTTTTTTAAAACTCCAGCTTCAAATCTTTGAAATAAGAAGAAGAAGAAGAAGAAAAAACTTCCCACATTTTCCAATGAGGATTATTACTTGTGTACCAGCTTTCAGCTATACTTTATGAAGCAAAATAATTAGAATAAGTTGAATTTATTATATATTATTTTCACAAATATAGTCATACATTTACAATAAATAAAAACTAAATATACTCAAGTTAAATAAATGATGACAAAAGCTTGTGAAAATAATGTACATTTGTCACTTGTAATAAAGCTTCTTTCAAGCTGTCTCCAACCTTTTTCTTCTAAAAGGGGGGTTCAACTTCATCAATGCTTAATTTATTACCATCTCTTCTTTAAGACAACTCATACTTGTCAATTTGTAAAGAAAAACTTACCTACTGTTACTATGTTAAATATCAAATGTTGGCAGAGAAATAAAGCCAATATACCAAATTTTAATTATAGAATTTATAGAATGGAGCTTTTTTTTTCAGATTCCTTTTAATTAATCCTATGCAGTGACCTGTGACAATGATAGATCTGAAATGCTATTTTTATAGATCTCCAATTTGAAGTCCATAATGGACTATATTATATTAAAATGAATGTGGAAAAATAAACCACCTGTAGTATTGTATGATTTTTATTATAATAACTAGCTATCTTGACCCTCTACTAACATTTCGCTGCATTTTCTATACACAAGACTTACTTCAAGTTAGCAAATCTCATTTTTTTTTTTTCAAAAACAAGATTATTAAATAAAGTTCTAATGTTTTCCATGAAGAAAATTATCTTACAAGTTTAACCTTCTAATCTTATAGCTTACAAAAAAGTAAAACAAAAGAATCTAAAGCATCATTGTCAATGACGGTTTGGATTTTGAGTAATTTTGTCAGTAACTTCAAATATTATAAAAATTCTATACAAGGTTCTCATGATCCTTTGATTTTTTTCATACTTCTCCTACTCTTATGAGAAACTCTTACATCTAAGTGGTCAAGCAAAGTGTTTCTATACATTAAACCAGACACTATGAAAATGATTCTAACAAAATAAATTATTCAGTTTTGTCACTATTACATTCAACGTGAGCCAGAGCAAATAAGAAAATTGTTTAATATTTTCATAATTTTGAGATTTGAGGTAAGTGAAAGTATCAATAAAAAGTGGTCATCTAATCTTAGAATGAAAGTGATCTCCAATTCAAAGCAAAGAAGTTTTTACAATTGCAATACTTACATTATCATCAGGTGGTTCCTCATAGGTACCTGCTTGAATTGAATATGCAATAAAGCATAAAATGGCACCTATCCATAACAACATGGCAAACCCACCAAAGAGTTGCTTACAGAACTTTAACCATTCAGGAGTTGTTCTGGGTGGGCTAAGAGCATTAGGACCATCCCGTTCATAAACTTCCCTGGATTGTTGTGAAGTAAGACCCTATGAAAAAAAAAAAAAAAGTGATGAGAGCTTTTATATAAAAACTTGAATTTTTAAACCAATATAATTTACATTATTCCTCTTACATGATTAAGACAAGTGTGTTTGTAAAGAATAAAAAAAAATCATTGCACAAGTCCTCAAATGTTTTGGAATACACTTATTCCATCATCACTGACGGCTAAAAAAACATTGTTAAATGCAAGTATGAATTACTTAATATCTTAGATGCTGGAGAACATGAAGTTTAGATATCATTGAAAAGGAATGAGCAGTAAACTCAGTATCTATCAACATAACTTGGATAAATTGGAACAGGCTGTGATAGCCTTTAGGGTCTAATTATTACAAATACAAAGCATGTATGTTTAAGTTGTGAAAACAAGAACAAGTGCCAAATTTAAGCCCAAAAGACTTACAAAAGAAATCAAACTGAAAATTAAGGGAAAACACTATAGATTTAAAAATATTAAAACAGATTTGTTGAATAAAAAAATTTAGAGGCCTTTACTAAAAGTACTAGATAAATGGTCAAAAAGCATACAAAAAAAGAGTTGGCATAAAATGTTAACATTAATAGTAAAATATGTTTTAAGTATGATAAAAGTAAACAAAACATGAGAATGGAAGTTTAACATTTAAAAATGAAGATCAGATGTTTTGACAGATGATTATGAGATTGCTGAGAATAGCAGTCCCCTCCCCCAATATGGAAGATTCTGATATCCTTGAAGAAAGTGAGGAGGTGGTAAGATACAAGGTTGGAAAAAAGGAGCCCACATAAGAGAATATTTATCCTAGAATAATAAAGGAAACAAAAGAGTAGTTATAGTAAAACATTAATCTTAGTTCTTAATTAATCCATTAATGGGGCAAGGTGCTGAAAGCTTGGAGATCAGCTAAAGTTATTGATTTTGGAGTAGGAGGATAAACACTGTCCAAATAATTATTGGCCAATTAATCTTACTTCAGTGGTTGATAAATTACTAGCCAATGATTAGAGACCCTACATATAGAGAAATTTCATATCATGGATAGTAAGCATGAATTTAGAAAGAATGATAGTTTACAAATTTCCTAACTTTATTAGAAAATATTACATTAAGCAAACCTATATATGGGCTTTCAGAAGACTTGATAAGGTACTTCATTAAAGACATCTTAAGATGACTGCAACTGTTGAAGTAGGAGATAAGCCAGTTAAATGGATTGAATTAGTTGGAAGGTAGAATGCAGAAATTTTTTCATTAATTGTGTGAAGTCACAATGGATTAATACTACAACTGATGTACATCAGGATTTTGTTCTAGGTTCTTTGCCCAAAATCTGTGTATCAGGAAGTCATCCACATCCTTTGTCATTACTTATTTTCATTAACAATGCTGATATTAAAGTAACCAATAAACAGGCTAAGTTTGCAGATGCATTTTTGAAATGTACTGAAGATGTTCATCAGTTGACTATCATTTCACCTAACTCAACTATATATTATTAAAATACATTTTATGCCAACTCTTGAAATTTGTTTTTTTTTTGTTTGTTTTTTAAATAAGAAGTGTTAAACTTAAAGATGTTTGTGATATTTTTGCTAATAATGTTACGTGTAATAGTTATTATAACAGTAATTATTCATATAGCATTGATGGGAAGAATTAAATGAATTTGATGAAAAAAAAAATGGTTTATAATAGCTATTACCAATCTCCAAGGCCTTTCATATGATGTACAAGTACAGGTTAGACTTCTTCAGAATACTTTGGTCAGTTCAGGTCAACTTACTTAAGATAGGATATCGAGTTGTTTGTGAATGTCTTATGGATTGGAGGATTCAATGATTCTAGACCGAGAGAATAGACCAAAATATCTCGACTTGCATTGCCAGAGTAGAAATTCTCAAGGGGACATGATTGAGGTTTAAGATGATAATAGGCTTAGAAGCCATAAATCCAGGTGATATTTTCATAAAAAAACTATTCTGCATGCAGTAAAACTAAAGGATACACACATATACACTTATGATAAGGGAAAACTCAGAGAAGACTGTGTTGCTTTATGGAACAGATTACTTCCAAGTGTGGTAGAGCATGTGACATTGAAGAAAGTTTAAGAGACTGAGTGAACATTTTATAAATCATGGTTTGATATAGGAGATGGAGTTTATATACACACCTTACTCTACATAATTGTATAATATATAGCCTATATGGGCCAAATAGATCCATTTATTCCACTTATATGCTCTTTCCAAAATTTCACAAGATATTTTATGAGCAGCAAAACTATGCCTATTTATAAATGATTTTTACATGTTAAGACTTTTTCTTCTTATAATACCAAACATATTTCTTATTAATTAAAAAATCTTATCTTATGTGATACCTGTATCTCTAAGCATTTTCATTAACTGGTGAATAATTCTGTTCTAAGTTATGTAGAGTTGCAAACTTTTTATTATATGCATACATCATTTTTTAAATCATAATTTTAAACGCCTTCTTAGTAAACTAAAGAAAATTAACCGAAAAAACATACAACGTAAACCAAAAGTACCTTACGAACTCGTACAAGACCAACTAACC